TGGCTTGGTGGGCGTGGCTTGGTGGGCATGGCAGGGGAAGGATACTGTAAAATCTCCATTTCCTCCTGATCAGAGAAACGGGAGGTAGAGAATAGATGCAGGCGGAGCCAGTCAGAGGTGGTATTTACCAGTTCTCTGAACTACTCAAAATTTCAGTTACCAGTTCTCCAGAACTGGTCAGAACCTGCTGAATACCACCTCTGACTTTTATGCATTTGGGGATTACATGTGTTAAAGGCGCAGACACAGTTTAAAACTTACCAAACAATGATAACAACTGACACCAAATTTTGTTCCATCTTGATTCATCAGATGTTCCTACCAAAGAAAGCAATTACTTTCAATCTTAAAACAAATCTAGCTGAGCAAGACTGCCAGAGTTTCTTTATTGATGTAAGGATATAACCAACCTTAGATAACTGCTTGTTACATGGGCATTACGGAATATTTAGCAGAAAGAATAAAGGAAGGAAAGGAATAGGAAGTTTGTCAGGCTACTAAATTATGAACTGCAGTGATTCACTTAACAACTCTGGCAAGAAAGGTTGTAAAATGGGGCAAAACTCACTTAACAAATGTCTCATTTAGGGGGAAAATTTGGACTCAGTTGTGGTCATAAGTCGAGGACTAGCTACACAGATGTTCTGAAAATGTTCTCCACCTAATTTCTGCATTAGAAGCCTAATAAGTTTGCATTATTTTATTTCTCAATCTGATAAAGAGTGTTACAAACCTAAAACCTCTCAGATTTCATTTTGTTAATCTTGCTAACAGATCTCTTCCCATAAAATGTGGCTAGACACAATCAGACATGTAATAATATTTTTGTGATTTTTTTCAGTGCAGTTGTTTATTTTTAAGCATGCGTTTTATATTAAAGAAATGGAAGTTAGCAAGAAGGAACTTTTTCTCACAGTTGCCTGTTTTGTTGAGGAGTAGGAGGGGGATAAATAGCAATAGATTCCACAGTTTGGATAGTGTTCCCCTACACAGAATTCAACTTTTTATATCTGCTATAAATTCATTTTAGCAGGAAAAGTAATAATCCGTCAATAAGAATTCCATCCTGAAATAAACATAAGCATGCATGATACATGACAGTTTTGGTGCAAAACTGGACATAGTGGAAAAAGATAAACCAATATATAAATTGCACCCATTTCTCTTCAAAGGAAAAACAGCATTTACTACTAGTATCTACATTTTAAAATGTTTTTATTTCAGAAGGTGTATGACTATATTTGGTTATACGAATTGGAGATAAGTCTCAAGATGTACCCATATGGTATTACTATGCAAAAGGGATTTGTTACTGTACAAATCCACATTCACTTCCCCTAAATTGTCCATTTTCCCCTCCTGACTTTTTTTTGTGCCACATGTTTTGCACATCTATACCTTCCATTGTACATGGAAACTGCAGTTCATTACGAAGAAAATATATCTATTAGTTGACATTTGAACAACAAGCACAATCAATGTTTAGGATCACTTGCTTATATTATTCCTGTGAAGGTAAGTAAGTTTTACCTATTGTATCTGCACAAACAATTGCCAATCCAAGACCTAGAATAAATAAAATGCAATTATAATATATAAGTATAGTATCTTTGTCTTTAAAATGAAAGATAGTCCTCTTTCCTTTTTAACTGAAATAACTTTCACCTATGGAACTTCAGTTGCTTTGGCATGATCTTGGATTTGTAATTCCCCTTGTATCATGATTCATTTAAAATTGTTAGCGTCATTGCATCATTACACTATGTAAAAACTTACCGCTGGAAAAAGGATTGTAACATTGTTAAAATTATTTATTGTGTCAAAATAAGAACATTCTGATTGCATATGAGCGCTATATTAAAAGTCATGCTGAAATGCATGAAAAATTTCAAATAATAGATGAAAATTCATATGAATTTCTAGAGATCTTGCAAAGTGCTCTTAACATGGCATTTGCTGAGATCAGAAGGTGGTATGCTATGCACAAAAGAGGAGCCATGATGACCAAAATTACAAGAAAAACAGTGAGAGGCTCCTGTAGCAGGAAGTCTATATAGAGTTCAAAATATCTGTTCCAGGGATGGGTTTCTGCCGGCATTACTGCTGGTTCGGTGCGTAAGCAATTTTGTTTATAAATAGGTCTGTGTATACACAGAACATTTTAAAAGGTCCAAAAAAAATTTCACGGCGACCGGGGAACCGGTTCAAGATCATGGCAGGCATGCCGTGCCTACCGGTTCAGAGACCGAGTTGCCATTTCCACTACTGCTTCCACTGAACTGGTGCGAACCGGTAGGAACCCACCTCTATTCTGTTGATATTGAAGGTAAGAGTTAATGGAAATTAAGAGGGGTTGAACTTAGACTACTTGTAGCAATGTAATTATTCCAGGCTGATTCCTCTCTTTACTCCACCCCTCCAGGCTTTGCTTCTCCTCCTTCTACTTCCATGAATGAAAATAGCAGTGTGATAGAATGGAAGAATTAAGATTGTAAAACTGTCAATATTATATCAATATTGATTCTTCTTAAATATTTTTAACAGTTATGAATACAATTTTAGGGATTAGTTGGAAATTGCTGAAATCAAACTGTTTCGAATCAATTGCCCTAGTTTAACCCCTCCCCCACCTTCAATTCCCACTTTCCACACTTCCCCCCCAAAAAATTTTTCCTAAAAATTCTGAGTTCATTGTACTTATTGAAGGAAGCTCCCAGGTCTTCTATGACCCTAGAATTTCTTTTAGGAGGAGATTTACTAAATCCTGGTCTAAAGTTTCTGATAATGACCATTTTGGCTTGCAGGACACGATACAACACAATTAGAAATACTTTATTGTAATATACTGTACTCAGAGATGTCTGGTAGGGATGAGACATGGACAGTTTAGCCTTAGCACTAGAGAGCCAAATGTCCACTCTTCCATTCTCACCAATTGCTTTAAGGCTGAGGTGCCCTAAAGCAACAATGCCACTCAACTGGTATCTCTTGTCTCAGTAGAAATCTTTCCCATTATATGGGACTTTCCACCTGAAATATATCTGCTGTACCAATGAGCTATTATCTGATTTCATTGAACCAGAAATTGTCTACTCACCTAGAATGATGTAAGTGAGAAAATTCCTCATTGCCTTCTTGTGTGAGTGAGTGAATTAATGACTAAATTTAACCTCTCTCTATCTCTCTCTTAAGTGGTAAAGCATAAAGGAACTAAAAAGTGCTATGAATAAGCCACCACATTAATACGTATTTCCTACAAGGAAAGAGGAGTGGCAGAGAAATATTAAACATCACCAAAAATGTTACTGACTTCTGGTCTTAAACCTATGAGTTATTTTTATCATTACGGTATATGCAGACTTGCTGGCTGGAGATTTCTGAGATTTGAAGTTTAAATATCTTAGAGTTGCTAATATAGAGAAACACTGACACACATAATAATTCTTTTCAGTGCAGTGGTTTTCTTACATGTATTTATTCTTCAGAATTGCCAGTTAGTAAAAAAAGGGAAGCTGACAAAAACAAAGTTTCCCTCAGGTATTACAGTTGTCTGCTTTTTTTTAGGAGGGGGAGGGGAATGTAGCCATCATGTCAATAGGTACAAAGAGGGTAGCAATAGCAATAGGGAAGCCTTGTCCCAATTATCAAAATACCCCCAGCTTGGTCAGTTGCAAAAAGACTCCTTCCTGCCTCATCAGATTGACCAGATAGATTAGTAACACATGGACTCTGCTCTAAGAGGGAATATACTGAAGTAAGATGGATACACCACCCCCCTCCATTTATAGACTCTACTGCCAGGATCTACTATGAGTAGCTATATTTCAAAAGTCTGTCTGTCTGTCTGTCTGTCTAT